GGCAATACGGCTGTCAGCAGGAGGTACAGCTGGAGCGACTGGGTAGTAACATGGACCACTTGTCTTCCTCTAAAAATTCCCTAGGATGGCATTGATGTGGAGACGGTAGCCCCACCAAAGCACTGAGATCCAGAATGGCATGGATGATGTTACTGGGCACCTCATCTGGATGACAGCCTGCTCCCAGACCAGGTGGGATGCCAACACCCCAATACCAGGGATGTGATTTCTTTCCCAAGGCACAGGGATGGTATTATTCTCAATGTCCCCCCGCTCCCTTGCCCTATTCATTCTCCCCTGGACTATTTATAGGGACATCCCCTCCCCCAACTAGATCATATTCCTGAAGGGTGGGGTCCCATGTGGTTAATTTCTGTAGCTCATTTCTTAGCCACAGTTACTATATATAACATTTCCTAGCATAGGGCCAAACAGAGACTCATTTTCATTTTTAATGAACACCGTTTAAAAAAGAAATGTATGAATTCAAGTATCAATTAAGGGAAAATTGTGGATGAACGTATCATCACACCCTTTCATACTAACATACACACAGAGAAAAGAGGATATGGGATCAAGTGAGGGGCCCTCTTTAAAAATAAAAATTATATGCATAACAGAGACATAGGTACATGTTATCAGGTCTATCTTGATTACTACTTAATTTCCTCTGGGCAACAAGAATGAAGCAAGCTGTTTTTGTCATAAGCAGTAAGGTTAGCCCTGGGCTACGATAGTTCAAGGTGTCTCTGTAGTTTGATGCACACAAAGGACTCTTAGTGACAGGTGTGGACGTCAAGCTTCTAAACTCATTCTCTGAGATGTAGTAGTGCTCCCTGCTGTGTGTCTAGTTGCAGCCTTTCTTCAGCTCTCAACAATGGCTTACAATATAACCTGAGCAGGAAAATAGTTTTATTACATAGGTCATCCAATCATGTACTGAATGGACCTGAAAATGTGCATTGTGTCAGCTCCTTGAGTCATAATAGAATGTTCTGGCTGCTGGCAACTTCAGGCAACGTACTCTCCCTCTGGCCTTTATGGCTTTGTCACTGTTAAACCTTTTAAAAATGTCTGAATTTATCACAAAGAAAATGCCCCCTTCAGCTACCCTTTTTGCTGTAAAATACAACTGAGATCCCCTATCCCATCCTGCAAGATTTCTGGATAGGTCAGGCACTGTTGGAGATCTCTGCTTTTCTTATCTAATTCATACCCACAATTACATTACAAGCAGGTGTCTCCAAACCTCTTTTACAGATGGGGAAACTGAGGCCTAGAGCTACAGTGGATCTTCCCACTACACGAGACTCCACACTGTTACGGTATCTCACCAAACTCCTCTCCTCTGGCAAACGCAGTGGGTTAGAGTAAACATGGGGCCGGCACCGAGGCTCACTAGGCTAATCCTCCGCCTTGCGGCGCCGGCACACCGGGTTCTAGTCCTGGTCGGGCGCCGGATTCTGTCCCGGTTGCCCCTCTTCCAGGCCAGCTCTCTGCTGTGGCCCGGGAGTACAGTGGAGGATGGCCCAAGTGCTTGGGCCCTGCACCCCATGGGAGACCAGGAGAAGCACCTGGCTCCTGCCATTGGATCAGCATGGTGCGCCTGCCGCAGTGCACCGGCCACAGTGCGCCAGCCGCGGTGGCCATTGAAGGGTGAACCAACGGCAAAGGAAGACCTTTCTCTCTGTCTCTCTCTCTCACTGTCCACTCTGCCTGTCAAAAAAAAAAAAAAAGAGAGAGAGTAAACATGGACCAGTGTCAAAGTTTCTGCCCTAGAACTACTGCAGATGACATGAGAATTCCAAGAACTGGCCCTCCTCACAGACGCCTACTGCACCCTCATTCTGTGCCAGGGCAGAGCACCAGGGCCACCAGCTGAATCAGACTTGGTTTCTGCCCTCAAGAAACTGATAACCATCACTGGGCTAATGATAAGGACACAGATAAAAAACACTGTGACAGGAGCAAGAAGGGCCAAACCCTCAGCACCAGGAGAAAGCCGAGCTCGACCCTGAGCTCAGACTGACCGGAAGCAGGAATCTTTAATGCAGACATCTTTTAGTGCAGACTCAACCCCCAGCGTAAAAGCAACTGATCTCTGGATGCAAATCTCACATGGCCGGTCATCCCATGGTGGGAGTAGCACAGAAGAACAGAAGCTGTGGCTGCAAGAGTATGGGCTGAGACAGCTATGAAAGGAAAAGTATTATATACGGTATAGGAAATGAGGCCCTGGCCTAGGAGGAGGAAAGAGAACAGTGAGACAGAGTGAGCAACATGGGTGGCCAGTCAGGAATGGCACAGTTCAGCCAAACACGCAGTCCATGTTACTGACAATGCATTCTAGCAAAACCACCTTTGTCACTAAATAACGTTTCCCTTGCGAGCTAACTGACTGGGTACACTGGGGTCACATGTAGGAATACCGCAGGATAGAAAGCTCTAGGTTGTCTTCCTGGCCTTTATGAACAACAAAGCCTGGACTTCCAGGAGCACCCTGCACCCACCCATGCCTCTGTCAGAGCCAACATCATCTCCCCTCAGGATAATAAGCCTGGGGCTTCCCAAGATCCTTTGGGCAGGAGCTGTGTGTTCCCTTAGTGATCCCACCTGGCACAGACTGAGGCTGGTCAGTAGTGGCCTGAGAGATGTAGAAACTACAAGTGGTTTTCTCACTCCCTATCTTCTTCCAGACCCCTGGCATCCATCTGCTTTCAACCTGCCGTGCAGGCATTCTACTCTGCCCTCAAGGTGATGTGAGATCCACAGATGCTTTTCTGGATTTCTCTGGCTTGTGAACAACATACTGTGATTCATCTCAACATCAGCAGTTTGAATTTCTAACTAGTTTGGGAGAAATGAACAAACAACGAAAACAAACAAACAAAAAAACCCTCAGGAAATTATGCTGAGAATGAAGACAAACTAGACCATAATCTTGGTGGGCATTTTGTTTATAATTTTTATAATCAAGAATAGAATGTCCCTGCTTTACATTATATATATATATATTAGATATTAGATATTTATACTTCAATAGAAAGAGACATAAAAACGCCTTTCAAATGAGGCATGACACACAACACTTGACACTCTTATTTACAATAGAGATGGGCTTTCTACACAGGTGTAATAGATGTGAGTATACAAAGACAGCAGAACACCCCTACGGAAAAGAGGTGCACCATGCAGCTGGACGTTTATTGCCATAGCTCTCGCGATGTCCAGACAGCATATCGGAGTTAAAAATGGCATCTGGTGATTGGGAAAGATGATCATCATCGGATCGAGCCTGGCCCCATAACTGCTGGCTACACAGTCTTTCAGGTGACCGGGGAATGGCAAACGTCGGTGATGGGAAGTGAAAACACAACGTGGAACACGCTCCTCAGAGAGGCCGGAAAGGAGAAGCTGCTACACACCTGCCGTCCTGCGTGGAGCACAGGCCCTGGGCTGCACGACTAGGAAGCAAATGCCGCCCCAGGCTACAGGGCCGTAGACTCTCAGCCTAGGAGTAGGCGAGTCTATGCCCACAACTGAGGCAGGAATTCAGGAAAAATGCCCTGTGGGAAAGTGCCCAGAGGACTTAGTGAACCCATGTGGGTTAAGACCCAGGCTGCAATGAGAACTCAGAGCAGACTCACAGAGAAACCCTAAACCCACAGGGGTGGAGTCTGCCTTTGCAACAATTGTACCCCAGCTCCACCCCAACTCTCCACACTTCGCCTTAAAGAAATCTGCAAGTCTAGTCCCTGCACAATCGCCCATCTGGACTTGCTTCCCACGGTCTGCATTTGTTGTTCAAAGCCACACTGCTAACACTCAAGGTTCTAAAATTCTCAGAGGGGCCCGGCCTCCAGGTGGCTTTTTTATCACAGCATGGAGGTGCTGAAACTCCCAGAGGCAGGCGCTTTCATCTCCAGCAGATGGCTCTCTCGTGTGTGTCAGCCCTACTTCCTGGGTCCTGCACTCCCGTACAACTAAATGACGCATCTGCCCACCTTCAGTCCACAGTGCACTCAGTCTCCCCGACCACATTCAACATCCTGGTGGTCTTCAAAATTTCCCCTTCAGTCTCTTACCACATCGTGGCTCTCAAACCTGATCTTCCTTTTATCCCTGCTGTCTGTTGGTGTTTCCCAAAGGTGGCCTTTCCTAGCCCTTGATTTTCCTAAGGCAAGAAGACATCTCTATTGAAAGATAACCAGCACCCTTCTCAGAGCTCCCCTGAGGTTTGACTCCAGCAACTCCTCCAGTACGATGTCATTCGCCTCCCACGAGTGGAGAAGCAGCTGGCCGTGTGAATGGTTTTAATTTTTTGCAATTGCGTCGAATGCGAACAGCATTTCTTTGGAAGTAGATTAGCAGGAGCTTCACACACCTGTGCGTTAATCTCAGCGCCCCCTTCTGGCGGGGTTGGTCTCACTCATGTTTCCCTACTGCAGACAGAATCGAAGCAATCACAGACATATTTTATGGGCCAGGGCTATGCATAGAGAAAGTCTAGGGGTGCAGGTACAGCGATTTGTTCAGTAGGTTCCTGTGGTTATTTTTGTTTTCACACACGAGGGTTTACCGGAAGTATCACCTTCACCCCTCCTTACTTTAAGTCACATTTTATGAATAAAATTGGGATTTATAATGCATTCCTCTGTCCCTTGATTAGAAAACATGAAGAGCAAATGAGAGAATGGCCATCACATTTTGTTGACCCAGTGGCACATTAGAATCTCTTAGGGGTTCTATTTACACAAATATGTTCCACTTCTGCACAGAGGTTAACCTGAGTTCTGAAATGCTGTGTGCACTTACTTTAATCAAATGATAAAGCTATGAGCTAGTAACATACTGGACAAATCTAGTTAAATTGGAGAAATCCCTCCGTGAGCCAACAGTGGTTTAAAACAGGTGGACTCTCCCATCCCACCCACTGTGTTTCTCTATTTTCTCACGTTTCTAAAAAGCAACTCAAATGAGACTCCAGGTGGCTAGACAAATTCAAGCAAGGTTTGTTGTCTATTACATTATTTGTTCAGCTTTTGCAAATCTCCAGAACAAAAGCACCTCACATGTCCAGTTCCACCCCAGCCTCCACCCATCCGTTTGGAGCTCCACCCAGGAATGCAGAGTCCACAAAAGCAAGTCTCAGCTAAAGCTCTCAGTGGGTCTTACAGGTTTCTGGCGAGTTACCCAAGGCCTGCCCCAGCAAAGTCACTACTTGAAGTAGTTGAGTCCCGCCACCAGGAAGAACTTCTCCAGGAAGAGTTCAGAATCCAGCACAGCGATGTGAGCGGCTCGGCCGATCAGGGTGTTGGCAGTATTGGGCAGGGCGTGGAACACGTTGTGTCTGATGAGAGTGCAGTCCTTGGCTTCCACCAGGGGGCCCAGAAGGTTGTTGATCATTTCTGCATAAACCGGCCCTGGAAGGAGGGAAGAAGGATGTGAAGCCAGGGCAGAAGTTGGCAGTGGAGCTTAGAAAACAACCCTAGATGTGTGTCAGGATGCTATTCCTGGGCACGCCTTCATAGACCAGTTCCCCGCCTCTTCTCAATGCTTGCAAAGACACATGAAATAAAACCTCAGTCCTTCTTGTCCAGTCCAATTATGACAGCCAGTGTCCAGAAGAGGAACTCCACACAGTGGCCTGTGAGCCTGCACCCCAGAACTAGGACAGAATTGGGGTGGGTATGGACCCACAGTGGGTGGCACCAGGGAGGGAGGGTCCCCAGAGACCTGTGTGCTGCTTCAGGAGGTATGTGGGGCTGAGACACAGCTCAGGAAAGAAGTGGAAGCAAACACCATCTGACGCCATGCATCGCGCAAGCCACAGGGCATGGCACCAGCTCCCCTGAGTCCAAGATCCAGGGAAAAGGTAGGGAACACATTTTCTGTGAGTGTAGTGGTTCATTTTTCTTTTATGAATGAAAGTCAGAATTTGCACAACTGTAACCCTGGGGCTTGGAGCTGTGTAGCGACGAGTACTTAAGCAACAGATAGATGTGCAGTACACGCCAGATGTGCAGTACACCCCTTAGATGCGGTTCCTCCTTTCCACAGAGCTGTTCACGATAACACCTGCACCGACAGAAAACCTTCTGGAATAGCTTGTGTTTGACTCCCTGTGGTGACGATAGCAGAACTAAGCCTCTGGGTGTTTACCCCAGTGCTCAGGTCTGTTTCATAAAGCCAGTTTGGCACCCTGACCCATATGGTGAGATGGGCAGCACTTGTGCCGAGAGTGGAACGGGGCCCCAGCTCACTCCATCACTGCTCCCTGCCACACCAGCAAAGCCACACAGCCCCCTACTCCTCTAAGAACTCAGCAAGAGAAACCACTTGGAGCTTTGCTCTCCTAAGCTGGGAAGGGCAAACCGGCTGTCTGCAAAGCCAGGAGAATTCTTTTAGCCTTCTTCTCCCCTTCTGAGAGTCACGGCAGGAGCTCTGAGATGGAGAACCTCGAAATGTCAAATTGAAATCATTGGGAAGTTGGCTGTGAAAATCTGTCTTAGCCATGTCAATTTAACTGAACAGAAAATGGGGTGAAAATGAAGGGTGTGGTGTGAAAAGTGTGGTGTGAAAGCTGTGAACATTCTAGAACGTTCTAGAACGTTCTAGAACGGTGGTGGTAGACTGTGGCAAGATATGCTGAGAGGATGTCATGGTGCATAGAGTGTTCTTTTCAGAGGAAAAACAGAAATCAACCCAAATTCAGTATTAAAGGAATGGTTCGACGATTCTATGTCCCCTTAAAATCATAGATATGAACACCACATGGTTATAAGAATAATGCATGCAGGGCCGGCGCTGTGGCGTAGCGGGTAAAGCCCTGCCTGCAGTGCCAGCATCCCATATGGGCTGCTCCACTTCCAATCCAGCTCTCTGCTGTGGCCTGGGAAAGCAGTAGAAGATGGCCCAAGTCATTGGACCCTTGCACCCACGTGGAAGACCTGGAAGAAGCTCCTTTGCAGCCATCTAGGGAGTGAACCAGCAGATGAAAGACCTCTCCCCCCCCCACCCCTTCTCTCTCTGTGTAACTCTGACTTCCAACTAAATACTTGAAAAAAAACAAGAATGAATAATGCATGCACACATGAGTGTTGCTAACAAATGGAAGCAGAAGTATATGAAAGTTACACCAAAACCATAATTTGTTTAAGTGGTATATGCAATAAAAGTCAGAAGTCATTTATTAAAAAAAAAAGTCACTCACACTGCAGTGACTGCTCAGCCACATCACTGTCAGCAGAAGAGGCTGTGGATTCCTTAAGCCCCTGAGGCAATTCTCAGTGTTTTTCTAAAACACAGTCTACCCTTAACCCTTACTACATTTTTTCTCAAATAAAGCACTGTTTGCATCTTGATTCACTTTTGGGATAGGAGCCAATTATCTACACAACAAGGTCATGGATACAGTGGCAGGTGACCCAGGGAAAGAAGAGTCAGGGAGATACTCTGTTTCAGAATTTTCAAAAAATAGAAACATTTTTCTTCAAGAAAAATAAAAAGCAATAATAACCTATAAGTTAAATCTTGTATCAAATCTTCCTGTATGTTTAAATTTGACCAACTAAGCCACATTTCTTTTACGGTCATTTAAAACTATCACCAAAAAGATGAGCTCAGGACAAGAGATTGCTGTTTTTTTCCAGATGACTGACAGGATTAATAATCAATTTAAATCACAAATTAACATCCTTTGGAGAATAAAAAGGTTCATAAATTGCAAATTCTTGAACTCTTTCAAAATAGAGCAAAGAGCCATAAAAGGCCTCAATCTCATTAGCAATCACTTGGGCTACTGTTCACAACAAAGCCCTAGAAGCATAGCAGTGTGCCCATGAGGAGTTCTGGGTCACCCCGAGGGTGGAGTCGGGGTGGAGGGAGGGTCCCGGCCACCCGCTTAGCCTCAGTCTTTCCAGCTGTAAAATTGGAGTCACAACACCTACTTTGATGACAACAATTGGGAAATCACTGATTAAATTATGATGGATCCACTTACTTGATTATCGAAATGTGTTTGCGTTCATGTTTTATCACCATGGGCAAATGAATATGGCATTATGCTAAATTGAATCGTGATGCAAAATTCTAACATCTAACTTGACAACTAAATGCGAGGAGACTAGAAGAAAAATAGAGGGGTACGTAGTGGTAGAGATAGAATCGGATAGGAACATAATTCATTTTAATAAGTTAGACTCTTCCAAGTGTTCTAATTCAGGACTTTTCAGTCAGCAAAAGCATCATTTTTTAATATGCCACATGTTACTTTTCAGTGTACATAACAGGCACTGAAAAGCACAATGCTATTTTAGATATTAAAAGCATTTTTAGATTTATTTTTTCATCAAAATCTCTGTTGTAGTTGCTAGGTTCCAGTAGAAATTTTAAATGTATCCATTTATACATTACTAGCAAATCTTTGGATCTTTAGCAGATTACTTTTCAAACCCGTTAAAACACAGTGGAAATAACATTTATTTTTTATAAGATTGAAATGCCTAACCTAGAGACAGGAAGGCCAGCCCATCTACCTCTCCTTGTTACTTGAACAACTCCTATCCATTCTGTAAAACCCAACCCAGATGCCTTCTTCACTGGTCTTTGCCTGATCTGTGCCCTACCTCTGTGCTACCTCAACGCATACGCATTCACTCACCTGCAGAGTCACCCCATTGCATTCTCACTGCTGTTATTTTCTCACATACCAACTAGACACAGGCAGGCCTGGCTCCCTGAGTTCTCTACCAGTTCAATGGCTGGCACACACCTCAGCAGGAGGTGAACAAACATTCCACAGTGGGATACACACATGACTGCTTAACACACAAAAGAAACATCCAGTGCATGCACACCCGGTCATGCGTGCAAAACACACACACACACACACACCCCATAAAGTAGGCCTATCAGTTCAAGAACACACACAGCACCAGGATAACTGGTAGCTTTGGGATCTGCAAGGAGAGAAGGGCTATACTTCCAGGAATGGAGAGTCCCTGCCTGTACTTCCGGGGAAGAAAAGTCCTTGTCAAGGTCCCCACAGGTGCCTAAAGGTCAACCAATGAGAATCAGACCTGCCTCAACCTATAAAAGGAGCCCTCCCCACCTCGGACACGCGACTTCACCAGCCCCCGCTCTTGTGACCGGTGAACCTGGCCCGGGAGCAGAATCCCAGTAAAAGCTTGTGAATTAATTGATTCACCTGCCTGGGAAGATTTGTTATGCGCCAGACACCTTCCCATAACCACTGCCCAGGCATCCCCGATAGGCATAGTCAAGTCAATTTCACATATTTACTTTTACTCTGCCAATCATAAAGTCTGTAAATAAGAATCAGATGCAGCTTACCTGTGTGTCTGTCTTTGAGAGCAGTTTTACACATTTCGATCCTGGCTGAGTGGAATGGCACATAGCGGTCTTGGGGAGACGCGACCAGCACGACGTTTTTAAAGTACTGCAGCCCTGGAACAGGAAGCCAGGTGCATCGTTTTTGTTTGCTTAGTTTTTGTTCTTTAACCCCAGCCATTTCAATTGAAACCCCTTTCAGTTTGCACAGACTTTCCAGCCTCGCCTCAGGAGGCAAACAGAGCACAGGGTGGCATCACTGCAAAGGAACCTGTGCTCTGAGGGTTAGCACTGCACACGCCAGACAGAGCTGCAGGTGCCCACAGCAGGCTGACAAGAGGGTTTTCTGCACTCTCTTTAGAGGGGAAATGATGACTTTGCCAAGGAGACACAAGCAAGCTACTCTGAACAGTGAGGAATCAACAGAGATGAAGCCTTCCCGAGCTAGCAATACCGAGGAGTCCCAAGGGAAGGGCATCTGCATATTCTCTTCCCCTCAGTCACAGTGGATCCCAGAATTCCAGCCCCCATCAGGTCATCCCCTTTAGGAAAACAGCTCCAAGTTCACCTCCCCTCCTCCTGTCCTGCATCCCTGCAATCCGTGCATATGGGGTGGACCGACTTCATAGTGCATGTGCCTCTCGTCCTCAAGGCCAGCATGGAGCTCCAGGCACGGCAGTGCCCCCTCAGCTCCTGCCGCTGGTCTCTGCACTCTTCTCATCACCCTATGCTGCTGAGCTCTCAGTGGTGTAACCCTCCACTGAAGTGGGTCCTCTCACCCAAGATCCTATGCTGGGCAGCCTGCGTCCACTGCTGGCCAATACAAGGGTGGAGAGGGCAAGAGTGTAACAGCCAGCCTCTGGCCCTACTTAGGACAGCTCTGTGTGGCCACCTCAGCTCCTGAGCTCCCCCTGGGTGGGACACGAAGACCCTGATCTTGCTTCCCTCTCCCCACTGCAGGGCATAACTCTGAGAGTTCAACTTAACACACAAGGATACATAGTAGGTAAGGTTCTCCTGCAAGAGAGTTTATACATCAGCCTGTGGCTAAGCCAGATTTACATCAACTGATACACAAAGTATCAATAGAGTTGGTGCTTAGAGAGTCATGGAGGACTGTAGACAAGCAGCCAGGCCAGCTTGCTTGGCCACACTGTGCAAGCTCACCAGTGGGCTGCTCTACCCACCCACTGGACATGCGGACCTCTCAACCATCATCATGTGCACTGCCGTCCTCTTCAGTCCTACCCATAACACGGGCAGGGTCTTCAATGCCCCTGCACACTCTCTCATTACAGCGAGTGGGTGGAGGTGTGATGAACAGTGATTCATGACAATGATTCACACCCCCCACACAGTGAGCATAAAAGGACAAGCTGGCATCAGTCCACTCTGTAGGTGAATCTGTACCTGGGGAAAGCTGAACCAGATCTGGGCTTACGTGATTACATGAAATGATTGGTAGGGGGGCAGGTGCTGTGGTCCCATTCCATTTCCAGTGCCTGGGATTGAATTTTTTTCTTTTTTGGAGGTTTATTTATTTATTTGAAAGGCAGAGTTACAGAGAGAGACAGAGAGACAGATGCAGAGAGATAGATCTTCCATCTGCTGGTTCACTCCCTAAATGGCTGCAATGGCTGGAGCTGGGTCAACCCAAAGCCAGGAGCCAGGATCTTCTTCCAGGTCTCCTACGTGAATTCAGGGGGCCAAGTACTTGAGCCATCTTCCACTGCTTTCCCAGGCCACTAGCAGGGAGCTGGATCAGAATTGGAGAGCCGGATCTCAAACCAGTAACCATAAGGGATGCTGGCACCACAGGTGGCAGCTTTACACATTAAGCCATAGCGCCGGCCCCATGGGATTGAATCTCACCTCCCTTCCAATCTAGCTTCCTGCTCGTGTGCAATTTAAGAGAAAAACGTGATGGCCCAAGTACTTTGGTTCCTACCACCCATGTAAGAGACCTGGATGGAGTTTGTGGCTCCTAGCCTTGGCCTGGCCCAGCCCTGGCTCTTTCAGGCATTTGGGGAATGAATAAGCATATGGAAGATCTCTCTCTCTCTCTCTCTCTCTCTCTGTCTCTCTGTCTCTCTCTTCCTCCCTCCCTCCCTCCCTCCCTCCTTCTCTCTCCCTCCCTTTCTCTCTCTCACCATTCCTTTCAAATAAGCAAAATAACACTTGAAAAATAGAAAATATTATTGAGGAGTAGAGCTGTAGCTTGTGTGTGTTGAGATGATCCCATGCATACCTTGGCCTGCATCTCCCACACACCCCGCAGGAGAAGGCCTGACAGAAGCTGAGTCCTTAGGTAGCAGTTGGCCTCCCCCTGCGTGGAAGAGACTTCACAGGCTGAACCTCCTGATCATACCCCTCTGTGAGTCCATCAAACTAGCATCAAAGCTAACGTGTGTCTCAGGGTCAGACCTCAACTCCAACTCGGGATCACAGCTGTCCCGGGAACTGCCCACCTGTTTTTTGGCTTAGTTGGTAGAGGAAACATTTGCGCAAGTCAGCATTATCCCTGAAGGTCAGCTGCAGAAGGGACCCAGATTTCTTCAATTTCTGCATGAGCCACAAGCCTAGAAAGGCAAAACAAAACAAAACACAAAGCAAAATCAAAAAGCAAAATGGAATTGGTAAACTGTGATCCTTAAGTTCAAAAACAAGGCAGTAGTAGACATGTTAGCAAATGCTTGAGTGATTAGTAATTACTCAATTAATAGTAATTAGAGGTAAATCTGCATTCTCATGTATAAAATCATCCATCCAATGATACAACCACAGGCGTCTGGAGTCACAGAACCACCTGCCCCTCTGATTCACTCCATCCCCTTCCCTCAGAGGGAGAAGTGCACAGACCCTGCCAGGACCCTGGAGAGCAGGGGAAGCCTCACATTCCAGGGCCCTCCCACCCAGCTTCTACACACACTGATGAGTGGATTATGTCACCGCAAACAAAGGCACTGGATGAAATCCAAGGACACGAACAAGAGACCTCATTTGCATGCAGTGCAGTGACTGATGGGTAAATGTGTATGTGTGCAGACAGGCAGGAGAGGCTATACACAATTACTCAAGATATGAGAGCCTGGAAGAACTACTGGTACTCGATCTTAACGTGTTTGGATGTTGCAAGAGCTCTTTACAATTGGGGGAGAAAATCTGATTGAACTCATTTATTTCTGCACAAGGATTTTGATTTGTGAGGAAAGCCAACGACAGAGGAAGGGATTTTTGTTTGTTGTGAAGCTGCCCAATACATCACGCTCAGAAGGAATGTCCTTGAAATAACTCAAAGCCACTGAACAAACCTGTCCCCACTGTGAAGAAACCATCTGTGTTCAGGGAAGCAGAGGGCAGGAGGAACTTATGGGACCCTAATGGCATACAACAGGTTTGGACAACTGGGCCAGTATTGTGGCATAGGGGCTAAAGCTACCACCTGTGCCATAGGCATCCCCTGTGCCATAGGAGGAGGGGGAGGGGGAGGGAGAGAGGGAGGAGGAGAGGGAGAGGGAGAGGGAGAGGGAGAGGGGAGAGGGAGAGGGAGAGGGAGAGGGTTGCCAGTTCATGTCCCAGATGCTCCACTTCCAATCCAGCTTCCTGCTAATGCACCCGTGAAAAGCAGCAGAAGATGGTCCAAGTGTTTGGGCCCTGCCACCCATGTGGGAGACCTGGACCAAGCTCCTAGCTTCTGGCTTCGGCCTTGTCCAGTGCTGGCAGTTGCAGTCATGTGAGGAATGACTCAGCGGATGGAAGATTCCTGCCTCCCCTCCCCACTGCCCTTTAACTCTGTAACTCTGAATTCCAAATAAGTAAATAAATCTTTAAGAAATAGATTTGGACAATCAAGAACTACTAAGGCATTTGCTGGCAACAGGACTTAACTATTTGTTCTGACACGAGACCCCACGATCTGTTTGAGCTTCTGAAAACCAAGTCACATCACTTCCTCAGTTCAGGTCTCATGAGCGTCACCTGTGTGGCCCAGAGGGTGCGTCCTTCACCACCTGGGTCTCGTGGGAGCTCTTCCTCACCTCCTGTGTCTCCAGGACAGGCTATGTGCTTCTGCCACTCAGAACTGTCCCAGTGTGCTGCAAACACCCTGAGTCTGTGTACCATTTATTCTGCACAGAAAACTTCTTCCAGACCACATGTGCCTTGCGTCTTTACCACCTGTGAGGGCCTCAGTGTCAGGGGCAAGCAAGCAGGAAAAATTCCCCTACCTCTGACCTTCCATTAATGTCAGTGAGCTTCCCTTTCCTTCTCCTGTTTAGTCTGTAATACTTCTGTGACACACACATGCACAAAGCCACTCACACATACATGAGTCATGTATGCCTCCTGCATCTGTTGGTGTGTTTCTGCAGATTTAGCTATTGTCTCTTAACATTATTTTTACCTAAAGATGTCTCTTTTTGGTAACAACAAACGTGTTTTGTTAAAAAAGCCTGGTTTTTCTCAATAAACTTTTAAAGGTTTTTAAACTGTTTCATATCTGGTCAAGTTGAGATTTTTAAGAACTTCATTTTTAGTTTGTAATAAAAGTTTACAACTTGATTTTTCAAAAAAGTCAACAAACTGCAAGCACCTGCTAAAAAAGGTCTTAAATAGTAAAAAAAAGTATTTGGAAAAAAACTGCATCTGTACTGAACATGCAGACCTTTTTCCTTGTCATAATTCCTTAAGTATAACAGCTATTTGCATGCATTTGCATTGCATTTGATAGTATAAGTGATCCAGAGACAATTTACAGAACACAGGAGGATTGTGAAGTTTTATGTGAGCCACTCCATCAAGGCACCCAAGCATCTGGGCATTCTGGAATCTGTCCGGAGTCCCAGAACTAACTTCTTATGGATACTTAGAGACAACTGTGTACACACACGTGTTATATGCATGCCCATACACATATAAATACCCACAAATATCAGATTGGATATACACATAAACATACATGAACACAATAAGGAAACTAAGTAGCACCGAGATTAAATGTCTTGGCAAGAGTTGACCCTAATTGTCTAGCTCAGGACTTAAAAACAGGCCTGTCCTCTCATGGCAGATATGATCCACAGCCCATTTCTCTCTATCCCAACATCACACCTGTCAATCTTTCCAACCAGGACCCCAGGGACATCACCATTGTATATGCAGAAATTCGAAGGAGAAAAGATCTTAAGAAGAGTCTAGCCAGCCTTCACTGAGCTAGCAAGCAAAGGGGCCATATCCCTAAGCCAGGTCTCTTCCTACTGCCCCACACTCTGACGAGCTCCAAAGCCCCAGGATCCCAACAACGTGAACTTCCGCAAGGTTTCCCGTTCCCAGTATCCTGCATTAGTCAATTTTGAGGACTGACAGGCTTGGGCGAGTCTCACCTGTGCTGACCAGGGCACTGTTGTTGTACAGGGTCCCCAGGTGAGGGCCAGACAGTGACAGGAACGTGTGCAGCTTGTTGAGGTAATACCGGAACCTGGGCCGAGTGAGGACGGAGCGGATGATGATGTTGCCAAGAGAATGGCCGATGAAGCTGCACAGACAGAAATCACACAAGTGCGGGTGAGCTCAGAGGCCGGCCACTGGACCAGTGCTTGCTGGAGGCACCCAGGTGTCAGCAGTCCTCCACACACACACACACACACACACACTGGATTTAGGAGACCTGGCAGACAGAACTGGAGCCATTAATTCACCCTCCCAGGCATGAAAACTCTGACTGCATGAGGCCTGGGCCAGCATCTTTGGGAATGGCAGCATGTGGCCCAGTGTGGTCAGAGGACATGTGTGGGCATGCCGCCCAGGTATGTCTTGGTAGAGCAACACCTCTCCCCTGGCCTCCAGGTCTGCTCTCAGTCCACCTGCAGAAGACCAGAGGGCCCTTTGTGAAGGACTCATGTGAGCACTGAACACTCCTGACCACTCATTCATCGACTGTATTCAGCTACCTGCTCTCAGCTCACCCTGTTGGACTTGCCTGCCACAGCCACATGGCTACTCACAGATTCAGTGTGAGAGAGGGGTACCTCCTACCTCCTCTCACAGTAATTCATAAAGCCAGCAAGGACAGGACATGGACACTGCTGAGCTTGTGCCCTTTTATTTTTCCCCACCACTGCAGACACCAGGGTCCTCGCCTGGGAAACACAGAAGTGAAGGATGGTTCATCGCTGAAGCCTACAGGGGATAATGCACACTGAGGGATTAGCACACGGCTACCCATTCGAATGCTCAACCAACACAAGCTATTTTCACCTCAGTTGTTTAAATACCGAGGCCTGGTTACTTGTTACAGTGTGCGGATAAAGTTAGCACTGACTGGAAACCCTCTCATGGGGAAAACAATTCATTAACTTTTTAATGCATCCTTTCAGTATTAGTCTCACTTAGCAGATGAGAAAATTGAGGTTTGGAGATTTGGAAAGTTTGCAAAAGGTGACACATCTGATACATGAGAGTTAGAATTCAAACGTGAATGCTAGAATCTAGGAATTTTTGTCTGAAGTTTAATATTCTTTCTACTAAGCAAAAACAAATGTGTATTCTCCCCCACATATACTATGAGCTATCTGAGTGTGTCAGCCAGCCCTGGTACCCACTGTTGCTCTGACTGAAATCCATTAAAAGTCACAAGTTAACTTATGCCAATGGTACAGAGACGGAAGGGCATCAGACCAAACCTGCATACAGCAAGCACTCAGAAGTGTCACCCTGTGATCTGCTTTTACCTGATCCTGGATATGGAGAGGTTGTACAACTGAATGTGTTGAATGATTTCATCCAGTAGCCGATCTGTCATGGTATCAAAATCTGCAAATGTGTCCATCTGAAAGACAGAGGGAAAGGGTGTGAGCTGGGTCATGGCCAAGGCCATCAGCTTGGGCAAGGATTCTAAAGGCACCCAGGCCTTAGGAAGGATACTCAAGGGACCCAAGAGAATAGGAAGAAGAGGAGAAATGTCACACAGGCCATCGACTCATTGAAGGACAGGCATGGGGAACACGATTAGATGTGCTGGTATAACTTTAAGGAATCACTTTTGGAAACAAGGATGGGAGACATGGGGAAGAAATGCAAGGTCAAGGTCAGGATCCTCCACACTTTAAAAAAAGGCTCCACATAAACAGAGCTGACTTACAATGGGCTTCAACCAGGGCCCAGCCCTCGTCATTGTGGATAACTGGGGGTGAACCAGAGGATAATAATACTCGTTCCCTCTCAAATAAAAATAAAAATAGCATTGGCAAATATCCAAGCAACATATTTGCAAAGTAAAGTACTGCAAATGTCCCTGTTTATGAGATTTATAACTTTCACTGAGTCATGACAAAGCACTGTGGGACACAGTCAGGGCCCAGAGGCCAGCCCCTCCAGCCAAGTGCAAAGACCTGGCTCTGTGGTTGCTGGGGCACCTGGGCATGGGGCTGCATGACAAGTGGCTGGAGGGGCACCCTCTGAAGGCTGACTTCCTAATCACTCTGCTAACAATACTCATCTTCCCTGAAAAGCAAACCTCACCGGCACACACTGCAAACACAAAGCCCTCAACTGACGACTGATCATTCAAGTCCTTGCTCCTTCCTCTGAGTTCCTGCCTCTCTTAGGACTGGATCATACCTGGCCACAACTGGAAGGTAGTGTACACACCATTAGCTTCCTCTGCAGGTCAATCAGACGAGGAACCCTGCCCATCTGCCAGGGTCTAAGAAGATCGTGGTATCAAAACGTGACATGTTGTGGAGATGACAGGAGGACTCAGGACACAGGCTCTGCTCAGAACCACCCTCTGTCCTCTTCCACGCATTACGTCTCAGCACTGCATGTGCCTGGCCTTGAATACAGCAGGTGGCAATGGAACTGAGCACCAGGGGAATGGGGTGTTATCTTCCAGAATCTGCTGGTTCCCATCGCCAGGGGTCATTAACGACCATTTGGTTACAAGCAGTTCTATGCCTCCAGAAAGCACTTAGAGTTCACCCACTATCACGTTCCTCGGGGAGTAGGAATCAGCACTGTTCCACCCAGCCCCATCTGTTGACTGTGGGATTCTTTAAAGTTTCATCAACTCTGACTCATTAAAGTCTCAGACGCCGCCTTCCTGGAAATGGTAAAGACTGCCGAGGTCACCTCGGAGCTCTGTTCAGCAGGCACAGCTCAGCTCCACTGGTTACACAGGTGCCAGCGGAAGCCTCGAGGCCCCCAGTGTGGATCCACAGAGCCCAAAATAACCAATGCCCTAAGCTGCCCCTACTCTGAGGTCCTGTGACATCCAAAGGCACCAATCAATGGACTCGTGTATTCTCCATCCCCGGCCCTTCCTCATCCTCCCAAAAGAAAACAGTAAGTCTTTTCTCTCCCAACTGTCAGGTGGCTGCCAGGTCCCCTCCAATCCCCGTGTGACCACAGATCCTCACAGTGCCAACAGCAGGCTCCCACGAGACCCGCCCCTGTGGTTCTTGCAGTCTGAGGGCCTCGTGGTCCTACCTGATTCTTCTCAGACATTAGGAAGTCCAGCTTTCCTCCAGGGAGGCCCAGTTCGATGAACGTCTTTACCAGCCGGAGGTCTGCACTGTTCCCTGAAGATGACAGAGAGCCGCCACCCAGCACCAGAGTTAATCACAGGAAAGCTGATGAAGCACGTGGGAATTTCTCCTCCTACTTCCCTCATTCCCAGTGTAGCTTCTGACTTTTGTTAAGCAGATAACAAAGTCAACTAATCAACTAAAGCGAACACCTGTTCCCTTGTCTCCTCCACACACACCCCCACCACACACACACACACACACACACACGTGCACGCACGGTCTGGCCCTTCCTAGGTGTTCTATTGCAAATACGGATTCCCTGATGTATTAACAAGTACCCTGGGGAGTCTGTTGGCAGGGACAGCTGGCAGCATCATCTCCCCTTCTTCCATAGCAAATTCTATTTGTCCAGGTTTTGCAAGTAGGGCCCCCTAATGTCTTCTGTGGCATAATGTAATTCCCAAAAGTCCCCCTAAAATTCCTTGTTCAGTACAAAGGCTATCTAGATATCTGGTGCTGCCATTTACAGAAAAAGAAGCAAGCCCCTGCAATGGGCCAATCATGGCATAGTTATTTAAAAAGAATAACATCCCCTGGGAACAGGAGTCAGAGACAGCAAGTTTCCTCAGTGCCCAACAAGGAGTACTGGGGCAGAGGACTAAAAAAGTCCACAGTACAAGACGTTTGCTAATAGTAGAGTCACCAAAAACACAGAGATTGCTTTCTTGAAGTAAAATTCATGTGGAAAAATGCACTTGTGATAATAGAGTGAGGTTTATATACAAGTGTTTTCCATGCAGGTCATAGGGTTTTAGATGCAGTGTTAATGAACTTAGGGCCTATTCCTTAAGTGCACTGCTACTGGGATGAAAGTTAGAAGCCATTAGTTTGGATATATGGGGTTGCCTACTTTACCATGAACATATCTTCCATGTGTTTCCATAGTTGCAAAGTAGTTTGTAAATCATAAGTGAAGATAAATGATATCATTTTATACCATTCTTAATGACACTACCTAGTGATTCTGAGCAGGGTGAAAGTGTGACATAGAATTCAGGGGAACTCTGGGTGTTTGGGAGGACCCGTAATATCTAAGGATGACTCCACAGGCCCAAGGTCACCACTGCTGGTGGCCCATCAGAACACATGCCCAGACCTGCATGGACATGGTCATAAGTGGTCATGTTCTTTTGGGAAATATGTGTATGGTAGGCTATGAAGTTAAATGCTATCCCTCCCTTCTGTTACTTCTGTTGATAAAATTATGCTCTCTGATCCCAATATTGTAGCCATTGTTTAAACTTGCCTAAGAACATTCCAGGGCCTGCACTGAAAACAAAAAGGCTTAAGTGTTTATACTTGTATTCATCATAAAGAGTACAAGTAAGGAGTTAAATGGCCCCTATCCTCCAGCTACTGAGAGACAGAAAACTTTTCGCAACTTAAAACGTTCTCAGATCAAATGTCTTCATAGGCTGTTAAACTAAGAACATTAACAAGAAGATAATCTTGGGCTTTTTGTACAGCATAAAAAATTGTGTAAATATTCCTAACTGTGCTCTGTTGATGGAAACAGAATTTGATCTAGTAGGTCCTCTGAAATTTTGAAGAGTTTACATATACAAGATGTGGGGAGCAACTGGGAGCAACTCGGACTAGACTAAGTTACTGGAATTAAGACTTATTATTCTATGCATCTGCTTTCCCACAATATGGCGCTGAGAAGGGAGTAACAACTTCTATGCAGCTGCCTCTCGCCAGCTTGAGTGATGACCTGCAGGAGCTGATCCTGCTCCTGATTGGAGGAGAGCAGCGTACTCGGCGTGTGGGTAGCAGAGTTGGGATTGGTGGAAGAGGACTATAAAGGAGGAGAGAGACAACATGCACCAGGAACACCTGAGGAACATCTGAGCAGCCCCCGAGAGAGCTGGCCGGCGGTGTGCCGCTCCCCCGCGGAAGTGGGGAAAGTGGCTAGGGGGAACCGCCCTTCCACGGAGGTGGAAGGGATGGTAGCCAACCCGGGAAGAACCAGCAGCAAACCCGGGAAGGGCCGAGCAGACAAAAGAACAGCGCAGGGTCCTGTGTCGCTCCTCCACGAAGAGGGGGAGCAACATAATGATGCCGTGACTCGGATATGAAACCTAGGCAGGGCTTAGTGTTGCTCCTCCATGACGAGGGGGAGCGACAACAAGATACTTCTAGATATGCTTCAAAAACTTTGAGGTGGGCAACGTAATTAAATGATGTTTACTTGTTCCAGAACAATTTGGAAATCCATGCCTCATTTTCTTGTAATATGCATTTTCCTTGAACTTTTTCAATACCTCTCATATATAGGGATTTCAAACGTCCTTTGTACAGAAGAAACTGATCCTTTAAATCCGTTTTCCAGGAACCTCCTAAGTCCCTTGTTTGCCTTGAGTTAGAAAAGAAACCTTCAAAAGGAACTTGCGGATGGCCGTGGCCAGGCGATACGCTTGGCCATGGACAGCTCTGGTTGCTGACACAGTGAGTCCTGAGGAAGCTACTCATCTGTGTGCTTGTTCCCTCCTCCCACATGCAAGATGGAAAAAAATACAACATAGATTGACCAGATTTCCTGTTACAACCAAGAAATTGGGAGTCTTGCCCTGTGAACTAATATTCCCTAAGTGAGTGGTGCAGACTGGTCACCCAGGACATCGAGCTGGTGAATGTGAGAAAGCTATCTTTAGTTCCTGGAAACCTCAAAATTGAAACAGAGTCATGGTATACAAAAAGTGCCTGCGAGTGAAAAGTGAATAAAAATAGGCACAGAGTGGCCCCTAACCTGAACTCCTCAGAATGAATGTTTCTTCATTCGACTCCATTTCTTCCATTATTCATACTGTCCCACTCGTGAATTCCATTAACTCATGAATTTTACTTACTTGTGCGTTTCACTGACGTGTTCATTTCAATAATATATCACTTTTGCTCATTCATTTACTATATTCCTCTCTTATTCTGTGCCTCCATTCCATTAATTATTCTATTTCTTCATTAATTCCAATTATCCATGTATTTATTCCACTCATTCTTCCTCACTACCTTAATTCATTCATTTTGTATTTTGTTTACTCTTTGTGCCAGAGAGAAATTTTCTTGGGAGCACAGCCATGCAATGTCCCTAGATTCCCACAGAAATCGTCATCCCACTGTTACTAATTAAATATTTTGTTGAATGAATAACTTATTTAAATTAATTCCCACATTTTATAGGTTGTATACAGACAGACTTCTGAGAAGAAAAATGTTTGTACCCACCATCCAGGCCATGGACACAGACAACCAAGTGGATCCCATCTTCCAAATTTTCTTCCTCTTCCTCTGGTGGGAAATACGGTCTATCAGAAGCTAGTACTGATAAGTCACTGTACAGGAATTCTTCAATCTTCAGTTCTTTCTTAAACTTTTCTTTGGCCTGATAAAAACTGGAGAACACGCAAATTAATCACAAGCCAAGCTGTATATCGCATGCAGGGTAGAAAGTGGGCTGGGTTAGTAGGTAAAACCGATGAGTATCCAAAAGCAAAGGGTCGGCTCAGTGGCAAATGCTCAATATGAGAGCTGGGTGAGATCCCAGACAGCTTTCTTCTGAGCAAGGACGCAGACAAGCACCCCAAGAAAACCAAAGAGTCTCTAGGTTTGGGTTCTGCGTATTTCCACATGGTGTCTGCACTGAACAGGAGACTGGGGGATAGAACATCTAAGATTCTACGTAGCTACAAGAATCCACACCACCCTTGAAAAGATCACCCCAGAAAGCTCCTTAACCTGACACCCAAGCCACCCATGGCTCGGCATCCACCTGCTCCTCCAGTGCCATCTCCTGCGATTTTCAGCCTCCAGAAGTGACACAATTTTTCTAATTCCTGGCTTGGAATGTTATGGCTTGGCTTGACTTCCATGCCTTGACACACGTGGGCTGTATGCCCGAGATGCTTTTCCACCTGGCTACAATGCCCTTGGCCTGATTATGGGTCAAGACAGTGGGTAAGGGCATGGACTCAGGCGTCAGATTTTGAGGGTCAGAATCCTGACTGTGAAATGGCTGTCTAGTAAAGGCTGGCTGTTCTTTACCTGAAACACCCAGGACCACTGACGTTTCAGATTTTGTATTTTGTTACATTTATGTGTGCATCATGACATACCGTGGTGATGAGAATCCCAGAGAAACCAAATTCCTTATCTCATATACTCCTTGTGCACATAGCCTGAAGGTGATCTTACTCAACATTTTTAATTTGAAGGAGATAAAGCTTCCGAGTAGATTTTGGGGCATCTGGGATTTTGGAGTTTCAGATTATGGATCTTCATCGTGTAGTATAAACTACTGTTCTCCTCATCATCATAAATATCATCATCATCTTTTGTATTTCTCTCTCAATACAAATGCATCTTCTCTGAGAAGCTTCTTCTAGCTACCACTCTATTCCCAGCCACTCTCCCAGCCAAACTAGGCAGGGCCTTGTCCTCCTGGCCCCATGGTGCCCACACAGTCACAGGTCTCAGCTACTTCTCTCATGGTAGACTGTAAATACAATAAGTCAGGCCAACCCTGGCCAGGCACTGGACAGTGTTTACCAGGCACTGGAAAACAAATAAAAACTGATGACAAGTCCCTTCCTTCAGGTATTTAAAATTCTTCACAAAACAAAAGGTGCAATGCTGACCTGCCTGTGCAGTTTCTTTGGGGGGCATTAGTAATAGGTAATGCATCAGCACTTTTCAATGGGATTAACTTGATAAAACGATGTGTTATATATGTCATCACATATATTGTTTACAGGTAAGGGAGCAACACGAACACAAACTCAACACAAGGAGGAAGGGGTACATTACAAAAAGGGCCATAAGTTTCAGAACTCTTGAACTAAAAAGGAAGCTTAGAAAGCAAATCTGATGATAAAATCCTATTCCCCGGAGGTTTTTAAGAAACCTCTCAAAATGTGCAAAGACAGAGGCACTGTGACATTCAAGAGAGATATTTATGATAATATATATTGAATAAAATGTAAATCACCATCTGCAAATGACCTGGTTAATAAATCATGGTGCATCCACACAATATAATATTGTGTGAACATTAGAAGGATGATGCAAGGAATAGAAATAGAAAGATCAGTTATTACTTGGAAAAATTACAATCGTGTTTATACAGAATGACCTGCTTGTGCATAAAAGCTGCACATAGACACAGATGCACGAAGAACAAATAGAGAAGACGAGTCACAGTATAATACTTTGGAGGTCAGCTTACTGGTGAATTTCATTTCTTGATACTATTCAGCTTTTCTAATCGGCATGATATGAATACATTACTTTATTTAAATCAGAAAACAACAGGCATCTCAATGTTGAAACAAGACTCATGAGAAATACGTGGCCCAGTCTAGAACACTGTGCTGAGATCCGCAAGCCATCAGCAAGCTTACCTAAACATCCTTTCACTGACTTCTTCCTCCAGCTTGCTGGAATGGGTAGAAACTACTCCAAAGGAACCCAAAGGTTGATGGGTGATGGGGAACGGAGTCTGTTTGGAAGAGAAACCAACCCTGGCAGGGGTCTCCTTGGGCACAGAGGAGAAAGGGAGACAGGTGGCAGTGCAAGACACAGACAGATTGACGACCTCCACAGCCTTCAGGCTCTCCAAGGTAAAGGACTCTGCATAGGCCAGCTGGGCTACAGAACTGCCCGCTTTTGGCTCTTGGCTTCTCAAAACCTGGGTGGGTACGGGGTGAGTCACAGTGGGGCACACAGTGCCTGCTTCACGTTCAGCCTCCAGGAAGGCAGTGGCTCCTCTCTTCACTGCTTTGTCATCAACCACGCAAGGTGAACTGCCGCACTCGCCTGCTGAATTCAGGTCGATGGCATCAGCAGCTGATAGACAGCTGAGTGCAGGCACCTTAGGGTGAGAGATGCCCCCAGCCTCTGAGATGCAGCTGTTGGAAAGAGTTCCTTTGCCCACAGTCAAGTCACTGGGCATGCCCTTTGGGGTTTCCATTAGTGTTTTATGGAAAGATCTGGTCCTAGAATTTTCAAGTGCTGTAATGCGTGGGATTTTTGAAGTAAAACCTTTGGTTTCAACACCCGCTGTGTTCTCAGTCCTGCCATCAAGATGACAATGTCCTTGAGGATCAAAATGACTCCCTTTTCCTTTGGGGATGTCCATGTAGCCAGGGCCCTGCTGGTTGTCAGTGTCTAAGATAATTTCCACAAGGGAACACTCTCCCCCAGAACCCTGGATTCTGGAGCCACCACAAGGTTGAGAGCCGTGTTCAAGGGACTCCTTGTTCTTACTGTGCATAGCCAAAGCTTCCGCAAAAGCCGCACCTTGCTGCTTGCTGTCTCCGTCTTCAGCAGTCTCTTCTGGGCTGCTGATCTGGGGTGCAGAGACAGACTTGGTTAACTTGGTGAGTGCCAACTCCCGCTCTTCCTCCTCAAAAGGCAAGGAGCTAATGGAGGTGAGAGAAGCCTGGATACCACTCGGCAAACTCGTATTGCTTTCTGTGTGCCCCCCCTCCAAGGAGTTCCGGTGGAGGGCGTGTCTTCGAACCAGCTGGTGCAAGACCTCCCGGTCACTGGGTGACTCCAGGGCCCTGCTTCGGGCCTCAGACCAGGCCACAGAGCTCGGCTCGCTCTCAATGCCTGAATCAGAAATGATGGACGAAGACCTCTTGATGACTCCAGACAGCACTGACAGGGCCTCCTGCTCTTCTGTGTGCGGGTCCTTTGAGGAAGACCTAACATCGAAGGGCTCCCTCAGTGCAGAGCCGAGGGACTCCCAGGGCTCCGAGGGGAGGAGTTTCAGACCAAGGAGCACCATCCTACCCTCCTGGTCTGCTCCCTTTCCAACACTCATTTCATGGAGAGTCACTTTGTCCGAAGAGATGGCATTCTGGTGACTTCCACTGGCTACTACTTTGCTTGGCACAGCTCTGTCTAATCTAATGTTGTCTCCAGCACTTTGATTCTCACACTCAGCACTAATGACCACTATGGGCTCAGCTCTGTGGGGGTTCTTATTGCTGGATTTCACGTCAATGTAGGTCAGTGCTGGGGCTTGTCCATCCTCTGGGCCTGAGCTCCTCCTGGGCGTATCCACATCTGCCAGTGCATAGGCACAAACATCAGCCCTTTGCCCAGTCAAAAATTCATCTTCAGACACATTTGATTTGTTTTGGAATTCACCAATGGTCAGATACATCTGAGACTCACAGCACGTGTCCATTTTGTTTTGTGTGGTCACACTGTCTCCTGGCTCTGGACACCGAGTACCCTCTTCATTGGAGTTCATTTGGATTGGTTTCATGGTAGCCAGGACAAGGTCATCCCTAAAAGATGAGTTGCTATTTACAATACGGCTCTCTTCTTTCTCTTTTAGACTTGTTATTGCAGGACTAGTCACTGGAACATCAAAATTAGGATAGACACTCACATTAGGTCCTGCAATAAAGAGAAAGGAAATATTATAGGTTAGGTATCTATGCTCACAAGCTATCGAATGCCTTACTGCACAAGAAACAATTTAGCTGTCCCTGCGGAAGATCCTATGGATCCCTGGAAGTCCCCATGTGGTCCCCGGGGATATCTTTGCTATTCATGGGGATCCTGGCAAGTGTCTCAGGAAGAATCCCTAAATAGTTCATGCTAATGAGATGAGTTAGGACAGGACCTGGTGATGCCAGAAAGACCATGCATTTGACTAGAGGGTTAGAATACTGGGCCAAGAAATATTGGCCAGACCTCTAGGGGAGGAAAGGTGGCCCGGAGCCTCAGTTCAGTCATGTGGCCAGGGACCTAATCGACCAAGCCCACCCAGTGAAACCCCAACAAAAACTCCAGGTACTGGAGCTCGGGTGAGCTTCTCTGGTTGATGATGAAGCCTGATGTGCTAGAAGGGTGACAAGGCCCAAGCACATACAAGCTACACTCTGAGATCTCTCAGACATTAGCCTAATTCTTGTTAGCCGGTCCCCACATGTACTGTTTACAGGGGTGGGAACCTTTTAAACTGCCAAGGGCTCTTTGGATATTTATAACATAATTCATGAACTGAACAACATGATTAACCTAAAAAGTTTAGCCTGACATAGATCTGTTGCATTTCAAGCCTGCCCCACCTGTGGCTGCCTGGCAGGGCCACAGCAAATGATTCTGTGGCCTTCTAGGGCCCGTGGGCCAAACGTTCCCATCTCTGCAAAATGATCATAAGTGAAGTGCTCTCCTGAGCCCTGTAAGTCCTTCCAGCACAGCATTGAACCTGAGAAGCTTACGGGAACACAGACATCGTGGCCAGTTCATCACAAGCTCACGTGGGCAGGGAGCCCCAGAGCTTGTGTGTGGAACTGGAAATGAAGTCGACCTGATTAGTGACTGCACCTTTAAACCCTGAAGGTTGACCAAACTGAACAATTTACACCAGATTTGTATTGCACTAATGAAAACCCACCAAATCTTATCATTTTTGTTTACTTACTACCTATCAAAGGAGATTTGATAATCCCCACTTGTAATTATGAAAATGTCCATCTATTTCATGCACAGTATTTACAAGCAAAGAAAGTGGTCTAGGAGCCTGATTTTTCCATCCCAACGCTGCCTCTTACAAACTGTGAGACCTTGGACAACCACGAAACTTAAATGAGTTCTTTTCCTAACAGAGTTCACTTTCCCCGACTCTAGGATGGGCATATTCATGGCCTTACAGTCATAACTGCTGTCATGCCTGCTGTGTGCAGAAAAGCACTGCAAGTTGGAGCTGCATAACCAAGGTGATCACTCCCAGCAACACCCAGAGCACGAGGCCTACATGGTCTTCAGAGCCAAATGGCAGAGAGCCGAAGTGTGATCTTGACTTTGTTCTTTAGGATAAACACATTTGTTTATCACATCTCTCTCTCAATGCCAGGCCTCTTCCTCCCCTTCTCTATTCCCACCTTCTCTTCTCCTCTTCTTCCCCCCACCCTCCCCTAATAATTTATAGTTGGACAAAGTTAAATGCCTCCAATGTCAATTGTACAATAGCTCTGATGAGAACATCTTTGGTATGTTATTTAATTTTCATATATACCAAGAGAAAAAGAGGGCTAGGTTTTTATGTTCTTTAAAAGGTTTAAATGGAAGGCTGGCCCTGTGGCATAACAGGTCAAGCACTGCCTGTGACGCTGAAACCCACATGGGCCCCAGTTCAAGTCCTGGCTGCTCCAGGACTTCCAGCTCCCTGCTAATGTGCCTGGAAAAAGAAGGAGAAGATGGCCCAAGTCCTTGGACACCTGCACCCATGTGAGAGACCCAGAGGAAGCTCCTGGTTCCTGGCTTCGGATTGGCCAAGCTCCGGCTGTTGTAGCCATTTGGGGAGTGAACCAGGATATGGAAAATTCATTCATTCATTCTCTCTCTCTCTCTCTCTCTCTCTCCCTCCCTCCCTCCCCCCTCTCTTCTTCTCTCCCTCTCTCTCTGTATATATGTAACTCTGACCATCAAATAAATCTTTTTAAAAATTTTAAATCTTCCATATGGTTTTAATAGAAGCTAAATGAATACAACCACTGTTGAATATTATGAAGTCAATCATTGAGATTGTACTTCCAAGCCACATGGGACACTGAGACATTTTATTCCAATGTCTTTGCATGGAATTTATGGTTGGGCCAAGGAAAAAAATGGATCTCTTTAGCTGGGTACATTCTTAGCATGTTCTCAGAGGGGTATTACGTGAAAAATCCCCGTGCTAATCAGGGGTCAAGAAGACAAGTGGTGTCAGCTGGAACAGTGACTCAGTTTCTCTCTTCAAGGGATTTTCAAAATAAGGGAAACATACAGGTGGACATCTAGATCTCCTACCAAAGAATATGGGCTATGGCAAAAGCACACAGAATGCAAGAGGCTCACTGCTGCTTGGGGTCTGGTGGAGCATGGAGCTTTCTCAGGGCAGTGAAACTGCTCCGTGTGATTCTGTAACAGTGGATCCCCATGGCCATACATTTGTCTAAACCCAAAGAACATACAGCACCAAGAAAGAGCCCAACTAAAAGCGTGGACATATAGATACCCCTGTGATGGTACATGGTGGAATTGGAAGGCTCTGTGTGTAGGAGGCAGAGGGTGTCTGAAGCATTTCTGAACCTCCTCCTCATTCCTCCTCTGCTGGGAATCTAAAATTGGTCTTTAAAAAAGTCTTTTATAAAAAGAAAAAGAAAACAAACAAAGAATGTGGGCTGGAGAACTCCCTTAGAAAAGGAGAGGATGAGTCATACCAGGCATGGGACAAGCCATGGGGCAGAGGCCCAGAAATCTGGTCAGCCATCAGTTGGCCCCAGGCAGATGGAGCAAGGTGGACAGAGGAAGTGTTGCAGGCAACGGAGAGGGTGTGAGGTTAGCAAGGAAGAGGACCCACTCAGCCTGGAGGAATCTGCAGGCCATGGACAGATGAGAAGTCATATATTTATGTTACAGGTAACAGGCTGTAGATCCACGGAACAAACATAAAGACTTAATCCATTCATCATAGACAGGGAGTGTGGTGAGGAAGCAGGCTTGGCAAAAGAGCAAAAATCAGGTTTCACTCTTACAACTATGGAAAAACGAGAGTAGCAAAGGATCTCATTTAGAGAATGGACTAAGAGTCAGGTCTTAATGAACGGTGTACATTAGCACACACTCATCATCGCTTTGTGTCTGTCACTCTGCTAAGTGTGGAATGGCAAGTATCTGCCCCTATATTGGTCCCAGTAGCCCTACTGAGTTGGAATGTTGACTCCTTTTGCTCAGTGTCACACAGTTCCTAATTTCTGGGGAAACAACTCAAATCCAGAGAGTTCACCAAGCTCTGAAGGCTGTAGGTGAACCACTTGATCGCTGTGGGACGGGGCGTAGCAGGAGGTGGGAGGGGGCCACATAGATAATAAAGACAGAGTTTGCAGGGTTCATGGTGCACCATAGGTATTCAAACCATGGACCTTTAGCAAACAACAAAAGAACATTATCTTAAAACAGAAATGGAACTCTTTTATTTCCCAATTTTCCCTAAAGTAGAAGGATAGAAGATAAATCTCACAATCTCGTAGTAATACATAGACAGTAATGTCACCATGCTATTGAGAAAAGGGGAAACAGTTCTTTTTTGCTAATGTTTTTGATCTGGGATGAAGGACTCACCAAGTGCTTTGTGGAAGGACAAGGAGAAGAGCTCTAATTTTGAGAATGATGCAGAAGACTGTGTAAAAGCAGTCTGGCCATGGGAGTGGATCGGGTCTTAGGTCTGCGGCAAGACTGCCACGTCTCTGAGTGCCTGTCTGTGGCCTTCTATGAAGATGCAGTCCCAAACACTGGAGCCCCAGCTCCAAGCACACCACAGCAGCTGCAAGCTGGTCATGAAACACGATCGAAACAGCGATAAGGAGTAGCTTAGGGGAGCCTTCATGGTGGATGCTCCTAGAAGACCTCCCCACTCAAGTATCACTGCTGCTTCAGACTCGAGGGCAGAGGCTGGCGGGGGTTGGCAAGGTGCAGCAGGTTAAGCCGCTGCCTGCGACACTTGGCATCCACACTGGAGTGCTGACTTCACTTCTGATCTAGCTTCCTGTTTAACGTGCCTAGGAAGGCAACAGGTGTTTGCCTAAATACTTGTGTCCTTGTCACCCAGGTGGGAGACCCTCATGGAGTTCCAGGATCCTGGCTTCAGCCATGGGGAGTGACCTTCTCAGCAATTCTACCTTTCAATAAATAAATGTTTTTAGAAGAAAGACATGAGGGCATAGTCTTAAGAGACTGGGAAGAAAGGGGTAGGGAAGCCTTGGGGAGACTGATGCTGTAGAACAGAGTCTCAGAGATGAAGTGAAGTTGATTCTGAGAAAATAAAGGTACGTAGCATAACTGTGTATAACACATGAGGGAGGGGCTGAGACCTAAATTCACTACAATGTCTATTAGTAGGGAAAAAAGACTGGATGACAATATGCAACCAAACCTAATAATGAGAGCATCAGACATTCTGATGATGGGTGCTTAAACTTCTTTTCTAACCATTCAAATTTACTGTTAAATTAACTGTAAGGGGATGAGAACAAGTGCATATGCATCTGCATATGCTCACATACATGTGCATGCACTCTCATGCATATATACGCAAACACACACACACACACCCTGGATATTTTATGCTAGTTTTAACTAGCTGGGCTGGGGTCATTTCTGCACTGGTACACACAGTAGTTGTAATATACCATATTGACACTAGAGGGCAGGGTGCAGCTGGGAAACAATTTCCTGTGTTTGCAAAGTTGAGTTGTCCTTGGAACTCACCTGGATGTGTAAAAATCCTATAAGATTCAGGTTGCAGAAACCCCAAAATATAGTCCTTGGAGCTACCATCTAAGTATAATGGTTTTAAAACCTTCCCAAAGAGATGGCAAGGCTTTGCAAGCAGAGTGAGTTGACTCTGGGTGCTGGTTTTAGGTTGGATAAATCTTGGATGCCTTGTGCCTCTTTTTCTCTCTGTGAAAATGGAACTCATGAATTTTTTTCCAGGATTAAAGAGACAAAGCATCTTCCATACCCAATTTAAGGACTCACGTTCTCTGGTCCTTGGAGGAATCTGTTTGGATTGATGGGGATGGATTTGCATGGGCAAGGCTATGGGGCAGGACAGAGAGCACACACGTACTGCCTGCCAGGCTCTCTACAGGAGACATAGACGTCCATCAACAAACTCTGTAACATCAACCAAACAATTGTAACCTGGGGACACAGGCATGAACAGCACACACAAATGAGATCTTCTGTCCCTGAAAGGAGTCATCCCCCATTAACCCATGTATTTATGTAGCCCACACTCCTGAGGTCCCTTGCTTGGCTGGTGGCACAAAACAAGCCCTTCCAGGAATTGGAACCCAATGCCATAGAAACACATTTCTGTTTTAACTTCACACTTGGCACACGAAAGCATCTTCATCTGACTTGTATGACATTCTGGTGAGAGGGAGAGCATTGGTTCTTCCCATTTTGTAGGTGAGAACACTGAGGCTCTAGATGCAATTCCACCCCAGAGGAACTGGGAAGAGAGTCTTTACTGTAACTGCTCATCTGTAGGATCTATTTGTCAATTCCAGTGAAATAAAGTCATTTCAACCAGTTAGCTTACCCTTAGTTCTTGCTTCCACTGTAGGCACTAATAAACATCTGTCATTAGTTTAATCCCACTATTGTTGGGATGCACACAGGGCAACTTTCTAAAACCCACCAGAAAGCCTTGCTCTTCAGTCTTTCTAAAGTGAAAAAGGCAAACCTGTGGCAGGGCAGTCCACGTATCTGTCCTCAAAGATCACGGGCAGGGTGTTCCAGTCTCCATCGATGTCCAGGCACTCTGCAGGCAGCGGGGGCATGCTGGAGAGGTACTCAGAGTTTCGGACATCCAGGGACAGCTGGCTATGGGTCTGTATCCTGGGGAGCATACGGACACAGTGGGTGAGCATCTGTGGGAGACTTGAGTGTTTTAAAGCTGTGGCAGGGTTCCCCTAATCCCACAAGAGCACTCAGAAACCCCCAGTAGACCCTGCCTGTCCATCACCCTTCCCTTCTGTCCAGCAGCCTGCTCAGCTCCCATCCAAATTCTGCTTTGTTTTGGAACTGGTGATGGTGCCGAGGCTTGAGGACACCCATGGCAGCCTTTGGTGAAACCCAGTGCATGAACCACTTGCCATTTTAGGCAGTGTCGTCACTTCCATGCACATGTAATGCCAGCTGAGTTTATCAAGAGCTGGAAAAAACTTAAGTCAATATATCCTTTACTCTCCATTCTTTAACTTTGTATAACATATTGCAGCATATCCGAGGTAAAAACCACCTAAAACAGCTTTGTTACTGATTATTGTGTGGACACCACGTCTCTGGATTAGGATACAAATTCCCCTGGTTCCACAACCATACTGTCCTGCTGAGTAGGATTAAAAATAATTTTCTTTCCCCCTACTGAAACGTCCTTCTACCAATAGGAACGCCATCTGAGAGTCGGGCAAGTGCTCTTCCTCATTCAATGGCAGGGGTGGTGGAAAATACTTATCCCATTCTCCCCCAGTCCCTGCAAAAGGGAGAGCTCATCTTGCCCCACAACCCTTAACATTGTGTGGTTCTTCTGCATGCTGACTCCTAGGCTTCCCCAAGGGACGGGAGAGTCTCATGGGGCTGCAAGGTTTGGGGGAAGCATTAGGCAGGCACAGCTTGTTTCTGTCTGTCTATCCCACCGTCCCTCTAGCTTTGCAGCCCGACCTATGGGAAGCCTCCTGTCACTGCAGCAGGTGGAGTGTGTGTCCTGTAGGACAGCAACATGGACGTGGAACCTCGCACTGGCCCCCAGCGCTTCCCTCTTCAGCACTTGCAGCAACACAGAGGAGGAAGGTGAGTTTACCAATGAGTGCACTTCAAAAAGTTCATGGAAAAATGAGATTAGGAAAATGAGAATTTTCCATTAACCTGTTGAAGTATCCTCATACATAGTTACTTTAAGTTTGTATGTTTCATCAGCTTATACATCAAGATGGTTTATTAAACATTATCACATATGCATATCCACTTAGTGCACATATGAAGTATGTGCATTTTGTTGGCTTCTTATTTTTCAATTGCCTCTTTTTTTTTTTTTTTTTTGGACAGGCAGAGTGGACAGTGAGAGAGACAGAGAGAAAGGTCTTCCTTTGCCATTGGTTCACCCTCCAATGGCCGCCACGGCCAGTGTGCTGCAGCCAGTGCACCGCGCTGATCCGATGGCAGGAGCCAGGTGCTTCTCCTGGTCTCCCATGGGGTGCAGGGCCCAAGCACTTGGGCCATCCTCCACTGCACTCCCTGGCCACAGCAGAGAGCTGGCCTGGAAGAGGGGCAACCGGGACAGAATCCGGCGCCCTGGCCGGGACTAGAACCCGATGTGCCAGCGCCGCAAGGTGGAGGATTAGCCTAGTGAGCCGCGGCGCCGGCCTCAATTGCCTTTTAACACATACATACAAGTAAAGAGGACGGGACTTTTCTCTCTTCCTCAGATCCTGAGGTTTATTGAGACTTCATCACTCTTGGAATATTTAACTCCTTAAACATTATTCTCTGTATATCAGAGCACAATTTAGTTGCAGTCAATTGTGTTCCTGTTCTACCATCTGAATTCACACGTTCTGCTCCAGCTGTTAGTTTATTGACAAATAGGTCGACTGATCACCAATGCAGTTAGGAAGATGAGGACTAGCTGAGATGGAAACTTGATTCTAGGTATAAGGCTTACAGAATTACACACATACGTGTACACACACACAAAGAGATGGATCAAATAATGAGAATTTGGCAGAGTATGTGTTGGAGAGCTGGGTTTTGTCTAAAGTTATTGAGTAAATAACAGGGTGGGGGAGTTGAGTTCATGTGATGTTTTGCAGCATGATTTCCCACTGCAATGTAGATTCTTAAGAATAGGCGTTTTGTGACTATGGCCAAGTACCCTTACAATGCCTAGCATGTGTTGAGAAAACGGCTAAAGATTCTATGGGCCACAGAGGAATTGGTGTTGGACTCTGTCTGGTCACAGGGCTTTGAGGAGTCTGGCTCCAGGGAGAAATCCTGTGTGCAACTTTGAGGCCTGACCACAATGCACTACCAGGCCCTGCTAGGCGGGCCTTGTGGGGCAGCTGTCTAACCTTTCTCACACGTGGTGCACAGCAGGGCACAGCAGGTTTCTGGGCAGAGCTCCATCATGTCAGCAGACCTGGGCCCTTGTTACTGTCTTTATTTAGAGATCAAGTATGCTTTAAGGGGCTGGGTAGGGGTGCCATGTTGACGGGGTTGGGGAGGCTTGTAATGACTGATTTGGGGGTGTGGACTGAATTAGGGACACACGGATAGCTTGTAAAGCATTACCTACTGTCAATCAATGCATTAATTGTTCCTGCTGAAAGGAAAACCCCAATGTCCAGGCCTGTGATGAGAACGGCCAGGCTGCCCAGGTGAGGCTGTGAGGGTATTTACGGAGGAGCCACGTGAGCTGGGGAGCGATGGGGAGAATCTGTTGTCCTCAGCATGTGGGTTATCCCCAGTCAGCTTGGGGCCTGGGAGACACAGAGAGGTGGAAGGAGGGCACGTTCTTTTTCTGTTTTTCATTCTGGAGCCAGGATGCCTTTTGCTTGCTTGCCCTTGGATGTTAGCACTCCAGATTCTCCAACTTTTGGACCCTGGGACTCCTACCAGTGGTTCCCCAAGTCTCCTGGGCCTTTGGTTTCCACCTCAGCCTCCCTGCTCTTGACACCTGCAGACCTGGACAGAGCCATCCTACTGATTCACCAGTGCTCCAGCTTTCAAAAGGGATTTCACCCTGAGCCAGCTCCCCTGGAAAATCCCTTCTTTCCTCTAACTCTCTGTCTATATATCTATATATCAATCAGTCATCTATCATCTATCTCACCTTCCAACTTACCTAAAATCTGTTTATCTTCTATTTACCTATCATCTACTACCTATCTGTTTTCTCTCTCTCTCTCTCTCTCTCTCTCTTTCTCTTTCTCTTTTTCCCTTTCCCTATCCCTATCCCTATCCCTATCTCATTTTGTAAAGATCTTATTTATTTATTTAAGCAGTAGAGTTGCAGACAGAGGGAGAGACTGAGAGAAAAGTCTTCCATCTACTGGTTAACTCCCAAAATAGCTGCAACGGCAGTAGCTGGGCTGATCTGAAGCCAGGAGCCAGGAGCCAGGAACTTCTTCAGGGTCTCCCATCCAGGTGCAGGGGCACAAGCACGTGGGCCATCTCCCCCTGCTTTCCCAGGCCATGGCAGAAACTTCCTTAGAAGAGGAGCAGCCAGGACACAAACAGGCACCCACATGGGATGCCAGTGCTGGAGGCAGAGGCTTAGCCTACTGCACCACAGCACCTGCCCCTTCTATCTCTATTTCTATCTCCTACAATTTCTGTTTCTCTGGGGAACCCTGATTGCAGCAGGGCCTTAGAAGTCATCAGGTGCTAACTGACTGAAGCAGGTCTTCCAGGCAGGGATAATGCTTCTCCCATGGAACAGGCGAAAATAAGGAAGCACCATAGCCGTTCCTGTCCCCAACCAAAGCCCTTCTGATGCCCCTTGCCTGGGTCTTTTTTTCTGCACCAGCTCTCATCTCTCACATAGGACATTATTACTGGTTTGCAGTTCTTATTGCTTAGGGCCCATCCTCCCCCAGGTGCTGTCTGCTCTGCTCACTGATGCATCCTCGGTGCCTTGAGCAATGCTTCCCATACAGTGAACAATCAAAAAAAATCGTGAAATGAACGACTTAGCATGGTGTATGCAAGAACACCGTGTTGCACATGCCCCCTGCTCCATGGGCGGCCCTGTGAGAGAGAGCGAGCGAGGAAGCAGCAGAGGGAGGCAGGGCTACAGCATGAAGGTCTTTAGCACCTTGCTGTGTGTGGACCCCTGTAGATGACAGCAAAGCAGTGCAGGCTGCTCAGCTGAGACGGCATGACCAAGTCTATGTTCCAAGTCCACACTTCTGTCTAAGGAAGGTGTCTGTGAGTGATTGTTTCCATGTATGATACATGCTTGGGGTATGGACACACGCATGTCTGTTTTCATAGGTGTAATATCTACTCATGTGTTTGTGCACATGTGTGTTTATGTGGGTAGTGTGGGCATGTTGTGTACATGACTGTGGCTGAATGTATGCCTGGTGACACACGAGTATGTAGGAGTGTGTTACTACATAAAGATATGTGTTTGTGCATGTGTTTGTGTGTTTTCTAGGGTTCTGTGAGGGAAGAAAGGGACGTAGGGTGAAAGAAAACGAAGAGGCACCAACATTTGAACAAAGGTATCCATCTGAATTAAGGAAGCTTCGGGGACAATGTGGAGCAGTTGGAACCAAGTTCATTACCAGCGAAATGGAAATAAATCCTAATTTCTAAACTGATTCTCCAAGGCCCTCAGTGGTGCTCTGAGACTGAACCCCCACGTTCCCCTCACATCACTCTCTGGACTCATCAGCTTCTTCCATGATCTTTGACACAGTGCGATGGCTCCGTCTGGCCTCAGGCCTTTGCTCTGGTGGGTACGTCCACTGAAATGCATTTTCCTTCATGGCGTCTTCCTCCTCCAGATCTCAGTGTAGATGTCACATTCTTAGTAATGTTCTTCTTCAACACCCAGCCTTGGGGAGCTACTGGTCCCACTCACCCACAGAGGCTTTAGTTCTTTATCCCTACCTGAAATTTTGTTGTTTATTTAAAAATGTATTTGTCTTCCCTGTTCATTGAGGGCAGAGATACTGTCTACCTTTTTTTTTTTTTTCAAAAAAATCACTCTATATAAGGTTCTTGGATTAGTGCCTAGAACTTAATGAGTGACTAGTAGTCACAGAGAGGGAGGGAATGAGGGAGGAAACAAGTAGAGTAAATAAATATGCTAGCAATTAACAGTAGCATCAACTGAATGAGAATATCTCACCTCTTATTATCAAAAGGATTCAAACAGGCATCTGAATTCTGCTTTTTCAAACTGTTACCTCCCACTCCCCTCCCTCCACACTCCCCACCCACCCTGCCCCTGACTGCAGAAGCCACCTCAGCACCAGGAGGCTCTCTGGGAGAGAATCCTACCCAGGTCAGCCTTGTGCACCTGTATCTGAGCGTGCACACTCCATGTGCAGCTTGTGCTCAGTGCACCGCCACTTCCTCAATCCAAGTGACACTCAGGGGAGCTGCGTGTGCATGCAAATCAGATTGCACAGCAGGCAAGGCGTTCACATGTTGGGTATTCCGATAGACATCTTCGGGTTTCAGTTGGGCCATTTTGAGTTGCGATCAGGAGAAGATGCACAGGGGGCCTGTTCATCACCTATGATGTCAATATCAGGCTTGCTGTGACTCAAGCAGTACACCAGACAACACAAGGGTACTCTACTTCAGAGGCTGGAAAGTCCACATTGGCTTTATTTCTTCTACTGCATTCTTTGGGGGGAAATAGCTCAATACTGTGCAGAGGAGCCACAGCAGGGAGGCTGGAAGTGTGGTCTCTGGACTCCAACAGATCTCTTGCACTGGCTTGCTTTGTGTTCTCAGAGAAGCTACCTAGCATCTCTGACACAAGGTTTCCCCAGGTTCTTCTCTAAGGTAGGGAGGATAACAGTACCTACCTCACAGGGTTAGTGTGAACTTTCAAAAGCAATGCACATAAAATACTTACAAAGTTCTTACCAGTGTAACAAACTGTGAGTCCCACAGGTTCAGCACCCAGAGTGCTCGGCCCCTCTGCACCTAGCATCTGACAGAATGAATGATGTGGACAAATCCACAGAGTACTGCACACAGCAAAAGACAAAATGATATCTCATGTGGAAATCAAGACTTCAGGACAGGACACCATACCATCAACAATTCCACCTTGATTCACCAACAAACTCACTGAACGCTTCCTTACTATTTGGAAAGCACCAGGTAGACACTGGCAAAACAGAGGACAATGTAACACAGCCTTGCTACAAGTTCAGTACTAAATCACTTTTGACACTTTGTAAAAACTACAACCCATGGCAAGGGATAACTTTCATTGCCATGGCAACCAAGTAACATCACACATTCCCAGAAACACACCTGAAATAAAAGTTGCAGCAAGCATGTCTTACTCTTACAGCCTATCCAACTTTGTCCTAAAAGGTGCTGTTCCAAACCCACTATGTTGAGTTCACATCCTACTAAATGTGGTGGCCCACTGTCAGTTTAGTTTGAGCTTGAACAAGATGAGTCTTGACAGAACAGCTTCATTTGTGACATTTTGCCTTTCCTCTTGTCCATCCTTAGTCCAGAGCACGATTCTGCTCCTATAGGAACAGGACAACCTCCCCAAGGCAGTAGCTCTCCCTCTCCTGGTCTGACCTCCCTGGGCACACACCCATCCTCACACAACTGTTGCTAGCAGTTGTCCTGTTCACTATCTCAATCCAATCCCTCTTCTTTCTACCTTTTCTCTATTATTCTTTCAGTCTGAAATAAAAATCCATCTTTTCTCCGTAGATCGTATTCTTGATGAGCTACTTCAATGTTTAACTTTTCTTGGGTAGCATCCCTTCTATTCTAGTCTATACTTGATGCCCCAAGTTAATATCCACTATTCATTCAAAACTTAAAACATCCCCTAATCTCTAGCTACTCAAAAGTAACATGCAACCTACATTCATATTACAGCTCAAATGTCACTTCTCAGGGAGACCTCTTTGAGAACTTGATGAAATAGTACCTTCTGCCTCTCTCACACTGAAACATATTTCTCTATAACACTTATTACCAATTCATGTATCTTCTTTATTTGTTTATATGCCTTCCACCACTAAAATGGAAGCTCCATGAGATAGGAAATTTCTCATTTCATTCTCTGCTGAATATCTAGTGCTCAGTGGCACACAGTCAACATTAAGAGCTGTTTCCCGAGTAAAAGAATCTCCCTTCTAAGAATCTAGCTACGAAGGGTTCAGGAATTGACTTGATGTCAGGAGGGTAAGTTACAGGACGAAGATTTTAAACCATGTGTATGAGATCTGGAAGGCTGAAATCCACAATCATTCACTAATAAAACGTGGGTGGAGAGAACACATGAAGTGAAATTATCACAGAATGAAGTACAGGGTCTTTGCCTGGTCCATACCTACACACCAGGTCCATACCTGGTCCTTACCTGGTCCAGCCCTACACAGCTGGTCCCTACTGCCCCCTCTGGCCCCCCTGCCTTCCCCTTGACCTGTTTGCTCACTCCATTCCAGCCACACTTGCCTTCCTGTGCTCCCAGACTCACTGTGTTCTGGTATCACAGCCTGCACACCAGCTATTCCCTTACCTCCACAGCCTTCGCCCACGGCATGCTGTGGCTTGCTCTACCCCTGCCTTGGTCCAGAGGTCACATCCTCAGAAAGACTTTTTCACGTTAGCTACAACAGACCTTATCTCATCCCCAGATTCGTGTTGGAGCCAGTTCATTCTGGCACCCCAGCTCCACGTTCACCCATCAGTGACTTGAAATGGACCCCTGCGGGATCACTGACCCAGTGGAAGTCAGCAACACTACAAAACTGTTTTGACTTTTGCTTTCCTGAGAGCTGGGTTGTTAATCATTGATGAAGACACTGGCCATAATCCCTTTCTCAAAATCTTCTGTCCCTATGTACTGAGATGATGTTAATTCATGCCTTGCCTTTGAGTGGCCTATGAGGATGTTTTTTTTTTTTTCCCTTTGTTCCCTGCTATTGTCCCACTGCCAATGTATAGGAAGCACCTTACCCATCTAAGATGTTCTGAGCAGAGTCTGAGGCTTGAACTGTGCATTCCCTGTGTGTAGATATTCTCCTTTGAGTCTTACAATGATTATCTCTCCTACTCTCTGGCTAAGGAACTAAGGCTAGATAGATGGGATAACAGATGAAAATGATAATGGGAAAAAAACCAGCTTTCTCATGAACATTTAGGAATTAAATGGAGGAAGAGGATCTTATACCCAAGTTGTCTGAAGAGCTCTGTACAAGTGGTTGGGGTTCCAACAAAGCTTTTCACGGAGAGCCAGAGCCTTGTGTCCAGCATCTCCACTGTGCTATCCTTTCTTGAAGACATAGTCATGGCTTCCCCTGCTGTTACAATGACTCTGGAAGTAGATTCCCTGCGGTGGTCCTGATTTGCAATATTTTTCTCAGTGTCCTCAGAGTTCATTCGTATTTGTCACATCGTGATGTTAGCCTTAGAATGTACATTCAGCAAGTTCCTGCTGGAGACCAGAATGAATGGATGAGTAAGCGTGTGAGTGAGGGACTCTAGAGATTTCTGGACAAGACATTTCAACATGAAGATGTGTTTTCCTTGGTGTTCTCCTGGCTTTCAGTAACTAGGAGGCAAATGGTAAACGCCATTGTAATTTTTAAACAGAATGAAGTGGGAGGAGAAAATTAAGGTTATAAAGATGAGCATTAAAAGGTCTCCAGGTCTGTTTTTCGTAATGGATGAATCTCAAGTGTTTCTCCTGTCAGATTTCCATGGCTTCTCCAACATTATTCCATCCACCCACATTTCTGGTCTGAGGCAAACACACCATTCAGAAACAAAAACAGATCCTTGCCCATCCAGCTCCCTGCTATGGCCTGGGAAAGCAGTGGAAGATGGCACCTGCACTCACATGGGAGACCTAGAAGAAGCTCCAGGCTCCTGGTTTCAAACTGGCCCAGCTCCAGTTATGCCCATTTGGGGAGTGAACAAGAGGATGAAAGATTCTCTCTCTCTCTCTGAGTCTCTTTCTCTCTTTGCCTCTGTAACTCCATCTTTCAAATAAATAAATCCTTAAAAAAAAGAGAGAGATCCTAGGACTTGTGTAGCCAAGGCCAACACATGTTGGAGGGACGTCTGTTCCTGCTTACCAGGTCATCTATGGGAGAAGATGACCTCATCTTCTGTCATCCCCCTGATTTTCTTGAGTATTTTTCAATTATTTTTTTCTGGAAGAAAATAAACTTAGAAATTCCTGGGTACTCTTAATTAGGTAGTTCAGGTTTAATTTTTATGCTAAATGCATTTTGTAGCTACTGCAGAGTCTCAAGTGAATTTTGTGGGTTTTTTTCTGACATAGCTTGTGGTCACACCACCTGCTTCTAATCTATTTTTCAGAGAGGACTCTGCACAAATGTCTTCGGGGACCTAGGGAGTCTTGAGTCTGTCTACGGAACCACAATGACACTCAACAAAAGAAAACTCTGGCTGTTGACTTTCTCTGCCACTTGCCAGCTCCCACCTCTGCAATTCACTGGATTTGTTTGTCTGTTTGCTTTGCCTCGCATGTTGTTTCCCCTACTGATATATTCCCCAAGTCCCGAACACCACAAAGTAAGTCTGCTGTCCTTGAGTGAA